CCTAAGTTTCCACATTTTTCCCAGTGAGAACTATTCTCGAAAACAATTACGACCCTGTTCCCCTTCCCCCTTCCTGATGAGATTCTCTCGACCGCGGGGCAGTCATGAAAATTCAAAAGCTTGGCAAAGACGTTTAATAGATAATAAAGGCAATTGAATCCTTCACCTTGGCAGGTGCAGAAATACAAAAGCGACAAACAACAGCATTCTGCTTTGCGCAGCAACATGAAACACCGCGATGGAGAACGAGCGAAGTTGAAGAATCAAAGAGTCCTTGGGATAAAGTATGGTGTAGTTCGCTGTGGACGGTGGGCGTGTCAGGCGGGATGAGTTTGGCGCGGTGCCAAACCCGTTCTCCACCAGTTGTTAAAGCGAGCAAGTGATATGACTGTATCACATCGTTCGTATTACTCATTTTCTACCAATTTTTGTCGCATGCGCGCCTTAACAAGAAGGTAGAGAACGCTTTGACGGGGTGACACACACACACACTGCCTGACATGCCTTTTTCATCCACAGTTGGAGCGTGTCAGACACTATGATTTGTGTCACCCCGCTAAAGTGGTTCTCTGCCTCTTTGTTGAAGGCGCACATGCGACAAAAATGGTACAAACACGAGTACGAGCGCTAATACAGTGCATATCATCTGCATCGCTTATCCAAACTCACCATCGCCTGACGACGTCCCACCGTCGACTACACTATACAATCTACTCGGAGCGACATGCGCGGGTTTATACTTTGAACCACCGTGCCCAGCGTTCTTGGACGTTTCGAGTGTAGCGCAAGAGCAGCGACCTAGAAAAGCTATAGCATTACGGGTAATGAGGTACAAGCGTATGCCAGCGTTTGAGCGACTAGGAAAGTATAGGTATAGGGAGGTAGATCTTGCATATGCTAGCGTACGGCAGGGTTTTGAGGGCTCGCGGGTAGTTATGAAATGGTGCGTACAGCCAGTGGAAACGCTGGCGGACGTTCAAAACGCCCAGAATACAATCTCATTACTTCCTAAGACCGCTCAAACGCTGAATGTGATAATCTTAAATCGCACTGTCCGGGAGTTCCACAGGGTACTCTCCTCAGGGAGGTCAACCAATAAAATTACTTCCTTTAAAGCCACTTTGAACAAGTATCTCGCATCCTCTCCCCATAGACATCCCGTTTGATTCTTATTAGCAATTGTTCATTTTGTTGATAGTTGTCTTTCGTTTGTTCGCTGTCTATTTTCTTCCTGCGTTCACTTACATTGTTGTTACCTTGTTTCGGTTTTGTTTACTAATTGTCTTCATTGTACCACACGCTTTGCCGTGTAAGAACAATAAACAATAAATATCTGGTCCTTACAAAAACTCTGTCGTATGCTAGGTCAATACCCATACCTTTCTTAGTCGCTTGAAACGCTCGACATGCTTGCGTAAGCCCGAAATGCTGACGCTAAGCATGAACGCAGCGGTGCTAACGTATTTGGGGGGGACCACGCGGCGAGCGGCGAGCGATGACTCATCCGCTCTTCTGCTCCCTCCTCGGCAAAAAGAAGTAATTTCATGTTTAGGACATGATATAACACCGTCCTAGCTGTATTTAAAAGCTAGAACAGTTAAGGCTGAAAAGTGCGAAGAAACAGTTGTAGGGCTGCTCGAATACAGGCCTCGTTAGTTGGCAGATTGGCATACAAGTTAAATACAAACTACCGAAAAAAATGATAGAAAAAAAACTAACTTGTGAAACCGTTTGCCTGGAGCACTCTCGATAGCGCTTATGTTTGGCTCAACGCAGAACGCATGCTCATAACTTTGATAATCCGCCTTTGTAGCCTCGCCATTAATCATCTCGCACGGCTCATCCATTTTCTGAAAGGAAAGGTGGCTTAGAATGAATCCGTGACGTTACCAAAGACCCAAAGAAGAGCAATAAGGCATTTGGGGGAGGTTGGGGGGGGCGAAGGACTAAAGCGACTGCGCTCCTATCCCTTCTCTGAAAAAGCTTTGGCTCCGCTAAGATGAACAGAGGTGCCGATAAATAGTCCGGCAGAGAAGTCATAGCCTTCCTGGACCGAAACGTTCATTAGACGAAGGGATACAGAAGCGCTGACGAGTCCCCCTCCCCCCACAACTTCGTTAGCCTCCGAAAAAGGTACTCGAAACGACCCCCCCCCCTCCCCCCCTCCCCGGGTGCGTGTACTTAGATACCCGGTGGGCGTGGCCAAAATAGGGCGAGGGCTTGACGTGGACGGATATAATTAGGCTTCAGCGCTTCTTCCTGAGCTTGGAGACGATAATTTCCTTCTTATTAAACAGCTGTTTCTACTGCTTGAACTAAGAAGTTCCGAGAGGAAGAATTAACTTAGATTGGACGAAAAGTGGTTATCAGGTCTTACGTATGATCATGAAATCAACATTAAGCCCACCTTGAAGACAATAGGAACGTTTACCTTGTAAACGGTGCTCCCGTCTAATATCTATTGCAGCACAAATTTGGGAAACACCGGTCCATTTCGAAGCCTTGCCCCTGTGGCCACGCCCACCCGGGTATCTAAGTCACGTTGCCGCAGCCGACCTTAACTGGGGAATATGTACCAACGTGGGCCGCTGTGCCTGAGAGACAGTTCGAGCTTCAAAGTTTATATTACTATTCTTAAAGAGTTTAAATAAAACGGCGCATGCAGACGTGGGAGTTGAGGGAACAAGGAGACAAGCCGTCGGTTACTGTGTGCTTTCTGCAGTTTTGCAACTAATCGTACGAACTTTTGCAGGTAATAGCGCAGCTTCCCCCATTCTTCCTTCGTTTCTGCTTCGCCCCTTTTTCCTTTTTTCCCGGATCAAGAAGATATGTGGTTGTGGTTGCTGTTATCTCGAGCAGATAAATTTATTTTATTTATTTAGACGGTAAGTTCAACCATATGTTGATCGGCATCGTCCATTGTTGCTGACTTCATACACCTCCAATAAAATCGGGGAACCAGAAGCATGAACCAACATCGAAATCGCCATGTGCGAAAGCTGAAGAAGAAAATCAGTGAGCTCTTTCTAATGGGTGAACTCTCCGAAGAAGAGGCTCGAGCTATTGAGGAAGCTGAAGCCTCTACTGCGGCTCGAAATGCGCTTCTGGTTCGAATGCAGATGCTTCCCCGCATTGCATTTCGCGTAAAGCTGTATAAATCGCTTCGCGTGCGTTCAGCGACGAGGTGGGGGAGGGATTTTGCACATTAGGGATGCGTTCCCAACGTGACGTTGCCATATCGATGAAATTTTGTGCAAGCGCCACAACTCCAGGTTGGTGGGTAACTGCTTGTCAAACTCTGTAAAGAGTACCTGTTAAATCTTGTAAAGCAGTGAACACGTCAGCGGAAAGCTGCGGAAGTGCAAATTTCTCTCACCCTCCACCCGTAGCCGATGCGCCATCACTTCCTCTTATACGGGTTTTCGTTATAGTTATTCCTTCAAAAATCACCTCTCTTGCTTCAGCCACCGACTCTTCCATGAAAATTTCAAGGAAATTGTCTGCCGCGCGTCAGCAACGCCAGCCTGGTCCACAATTAACGTTAACGTTGGAGCGCCTTGGTGGAGTTTACATGTCAAGCCCAGGTGATTTTCCGCAGTCATAATTCTTTCGTGCAGTCTGGTTTCAGTGCGGATGATGGGGCGTGTCCGCGCGGCTGCGTTTGGCACGCCGCCAAATTCATTCTCTCAGTTGTTTAGAGGCAGATTGGCCGATCATCCCACGTACGCGTAAGCCTTAGTACGCCCCCAGCAAGCGCTTCATGGCGCCATTCCAATGAACGTACCCCTATAGCGTCCTATCAAGGTTGCTACATACGGACCCATCCGCCCACAAATGTCCGACCGATGCTCGTATCGCTTCATTTGCGAAGTGCAATAAGAAGCGAAGGGACTAATATGAGTACAAAAAGGCAGCCGTATCTACCGTAGCGACCGCTCAGCACGATATTCACCGACGGAAACTCGTCCGATTACTGTCGTGCAGAACAAACGCTTTTTTGCAGGTTTTTGACGTATCACCTCGCTTCTTCGCCATTTTCCCCACTATGTAGCATCCTGCTATCATTTTAGACCGAGTATCAAATGGTGCCTTATGTTCTTTGAAGACAGTTCCGCGATAGATGATGGTCTACGAAATGCCTCGCATTTGGCATCGTATTCTGCACTCGCGAAGAATGCACCATTTTCGTCACTCGAAACGGTGAAGAAAAGAAGCTAGATACTGTGATTATTGCAAACAGATGCAACCATGATTACTTCACTCTGCAAGAAAGGCTTCAAGCGGAATTGCACCGTGTCGTCGCGCAGCATTGCACCAGAAGCATCGCAGGATGATTTTCCTGCGCTGTTGCCGGGAATCGGTTGGCGTCGAATCCTGCTGATTCAGTTTGCCTACGTTCGACAATCGTCCAAGGCGCCGGCCACACTGCTAAGGGAGTCTATGTAGAGGTACAAAGTTTTCTTCGCTTTATTTTTCCTCTGCGGGAGTTGGATTATGAGCTACTGGTTCATAATCGGAGAACCTACCACCAGTACCAGCACTCCTGTCGCTATCATAAAAGAATGGAAAAAAAAGAAAAAAAACGCGGCTTGACTCCGCGCGGTTAACGTCTCATTCTCCGCAGTAAGCCACGATATATTGTGATTCACTCGACCGTTGTCTTCTTTGAGTTGAGTTACAACTGAAGAGTACTTTCAGAAGTTCGAGAACTAGTGCAGTATTCCGTCATCGGTCCCATTGTGAATAAGCCGAAATGGGCTCATTTTCGACCATGGAAAAGCACTTCGCAGACAATCCTAATGCGAATCAACTGTCCAGATGATTATATAGCAAGTATTTACTTCCTCTCATTGGTTTCTCTCTCGACTGCTCGTATTATTTTTGTCTTCCTTCCAGGATGATAATGAATTCTCGTTCTCCTTTCTCGACAAGTTTTTGAGAAAAGTTGGATTCGAATGGACTCTGCAGTTGGAGATCGTAGCAGTTTCTGGAATCACATAATGAACGTGCCTGTGAGCATTCAAGAGCAAATCCGTGAGCGTGTTCTGGTGAGTTCGAAAGTGTTTCTGCTCTAAAATTATTTTTTTTCTACCGAGATCATAATTATTTTGAAGCTTTCACGTATTAAACTAATATTTGATGGGTATTCGAATCACTCTAATTTCTGGGATATAGAGCCCATCCATATGCAAAAGTTACGTACATCTTGAAATTTTGTGTACGGTCCTGTTGTGAAACCATGTAACGCAGGCAGATAGAGAGCAGTGGCTGCAAAGCAAGTGTTTCCTGCATAATGCGCAAGAAACATGGGACAGCGAGGATATGAGCTGTTCGGGGAGCTCAGGAGTGAGTGAGAAGCTGGAATGTCTGAAGTCTCAATGGTTCTAAATGCCATACGGACGAGAGAGCGCAGAGAAAAACAGAAGATCGAGGGAACTAGTTTCAGCTTGTCCGTAGAAAGGAAGGACATGCGACTTACATCCTAGAAAACTTCGTTATTTTAAAGATGTCAGGTCAAAAAACCACACTTTTCCGCGTGGAACATTCGCGACCTTCGAGGAGAAGGTACGCTTTGTCCATGGGTGTGCCACATATCCCAGTAAAAGATACTTCAAGAAGAATATCTCGATCATTTAATTTTGGTTTTCTTCCATTCTGTACAGTAATTTACACTAGGAGGGTTTTCTAGAGCTCCAGTGCTGTTTGTTGCTACAGTTACTTCACTACAAGACAAACTGTCCACCCTCCTTCATGGATCCGGGTCCGTGACATGTGTGAAGTGTCAGGTGAATGGGTTTGCAGGGTAGCGTGCCACTGTCTGCGTCCAGAAGTACACGAGAATAAGCTAGAGAGTAGTAATATCCGTGTTCTGTTCGAAACTACGAACCGAAGCCACACTGCCATGTTAACCATAGCCAAAAGAAGTCCCAAGTCACTGCTCTTTATCCCTGTTTCCGCGCGCTCACAAGTGCCGAAAGTGTAACACCTGTACGGTCAACCCGCTCTTCTCGCACACGGCAAGGACCGTCCTTAGGGGCAAGTTTATAGTGTGTTTTTGAGCTGTATCTAGTGCTGAATTTTGTTTCCTGACCCACCCTCGCACAATTTCTACTTTTCAAATATTTTTCCGAATACTGTGAAGTATTATTGCTTCTGTTGAATAATGTGAAGTATTATTGCTTCTGTTGCAGAAAATCGACCCTCTAGAAGGGTTGGGAAAGAATGACAGTTTGAGAACCGAACTTTTAATCACAACTCCTGAGATGGTGGATAATAGCTATCCGTTTCCAGATGGCACTTGCATTGTTGCAACTAAAGACAAGTAAGTTTTAGACTTGAGAGAGTTTGCTTGGTCCAAGCGCTGTTTTGTCTGAAAAATTGAATAAAAAATTAGTTAAAAAATTCGGCACTGTTCAACAATTGATCACCGGGCCAGTTTCTGTAGCCTGTTGTGGGTCGGCACCTTGATCGACTTTTTTTCTAGCGGCCGCGAGATTGGCTGAATGTTGTGTTTTAGGGGTATTTCGAACCTCCTGAACACAAATATCACATAAGCCATCGTCGCGAAACCCAAGCGCCGGCGCCAAAGTTACCTAGATCACAATAGTCGCTGAAAACGTACCCAGAAGTAGCGTTGCGACCTCCGAATAAGAATATCCTATCCGCTCGGTGCCGCGCCACAGGCCCGGCGCCAAAATGCCCTAAATCAATGTGCCCGCCGTTCTGGGCGGGCGCCAGGCACTATTCAGCCAAGTGGGATGTGATAATTCGGTGTTTTACGAAGTCGAATTTACGCTTAACCAAAGTTCAGCGTAAATATGCCCGTATGAAAAAAGTCGGATCAAAAGCCGGCCTGGTTTTCGCCAAAACTCGGAGTAGGTAATAGTGTGAAATGAGTGCCCAAAAATTCCTTTTTATCTTCGATTCCGTAAATTAGCGGTCTTGGTTATTCAGGTACGCGCCAGTAACGAAGGAGTCGCCCATATTCGCTTTAGATTGTGAGATGTGTGTTACATCAGCTGGTGTTCACGAATTGACTCGAATATCACTTGTGCGTTTTTCCTCTCCTGTATTTTACTTTACGTAGTCATTTTATTGTCGCTAATTCTTGTGTGCTAGAAGTGTTTGTTGCGGCTATATTATGTTACTATACAACTAATTCAGATCCAAGGAGGATACGACCGGTACCAGTTGTTTTTTGACAACCTTGTCAAACCGTAAGATGAATAACAGGTCGGTTGATTTCCAAGTTCTTTGATCATTGTTGTCTCTCTTTTTCGTAGGCAGTTCTCATTCAATTTTCTCTTCTTTTTCGTAGCCAGTTCAGTCATTCCAACAAGAATTTCTGGACTCGTTTTATGCTGATTTTTTTTTCTAAAGATAAAAAGGACTAAGTTCCGATCCCTAGGTGACAGAATTTTGCATTCCTGCAATTTTGCTTTCGTCAGTTCGTATAAGTCGGAACATTTTGTCCAAACCAATAGGCGTCTGAAAACACTCGACTCCTTTGTCATTAGAAATCCCTATCGTTGAGTTCGAATGCGTGGTGAACTCGTGGTTCTTCGCCCCTTCTTGACGTTCCCAGCAGAAATGAACTACACTTTTGTGGTCCCCGCATAAAGTTCTATGACATGCCACTGACCTCAATGCCTCGTCTACGCTGAGGACTGCGCTCCCGTTCTCGGAATTATCAAGGAGTACTGCATGGAAAATGCTCGAATACTAGGCACACAGTGCCGGCGCACACTTTGAGTACCTCCAAGCTAGCCGTTGCAACACGAAGGCGCTCGACCTCGTTGAAATGCGACTCAGCGGGCTCTAGAGAAAAACCAAGCTAGAGTAAAGAACTTTTCTAATATATGGCGCCGGTATTTCTCTGTCCAGCTTATGAGGGAAAAATATTACTTGACTACATTTGAGCGATATATTTTGAATGGCAGACGTGAAGCCTTGTCAGTGAGAAGAGTTGATTGTGAAGGCTGCCTCGTGGGTCGAGAGTCGTATTTTTGAGTAAAGACATTTCCTTATCTCTTAGGATTATTTGACAAAGTTCTCTGGGATTACGCCCGAACTTCTGGAGTCCGTGACGATATCGCTTGAAGGACGTACAAGCAGCTATGCGCACAGTTTTGCCACCTGATGCCATTCTATGCGGTCACTCGTTGGAATTTGATCTACGTGCAATGCAAATGGCCCATCCGTGAGTTCTGGCTCTTATATTCATATTCTATGTTCTATATTCATGGCCTTTTTCCTAATTGCTAAGCAAGATTAATGTACTTTTTAATGAAGACCAGCCAAACGGTTGACTTTTCCAGTTTGATCCCCATTTTTATACTAAAACATTTTCATTTGAAGGTTTGAAGTATATTGATGTTTCCAGGTACTGTATCGATATTGGTCTCATATATAATCTTTCCGGCACTGAGAGAATGAAAACCAGTTTGAAAAACCTTATGTCGGTTTTTTTCGACGAAGACATCCAGGTTTGTTGCAGAGAAATCTTATTAGTGGTCATTACCACTTTATTTCTGTAACAGGTTTTTTTTGTAGAACTCCCATGGGCATTGCTCAGTGGAGGATGCGTGGTGTGCTATGCGTCTTCTTAAGATGAAACTAGAGAACGGGTTAGTGTTTTGTTGTGCCTCCATGTATTTTTTGCCCGTTCTGTAACTG